GCTTCACCCCAATAAACGACGAGGTTTGACTCCTGCGCTCGGCCTGGGGGTCCCTGGGGGGCTCAGAGGGGGTTTTGGGGTCCCCAAGGGGGTCCCGGGTGGGTTTTGGGGTCCCCAGGGGGGTCCCCGGTGGATTCTGGGGTCCCCAAGAGGGTCCTGGGTGGGTTTTGGGGATCCCCAGTTGGATTTGGGGTCCCCAGAGGGGCCCCGGGTGGGTTTTGGGGATCCCCAGTTGGATTCCGATCTCCCAGAGGGGTCCCCGGTGGGTTTTGGGGTCCCGGGTGGGTTTTGGGGTCCCAGGTGAATTTGGGGTCCCCAGAGGGGTCCCCGGTGGATTTTGGGGTCCCCAGGGGGGTCCCAGCCCGGGGGGGCAGCTCCACGCCCGCCCTTTGTGTCCCTTGTGTCCCCCCAGGCGGGTTGGGGACACCCTGGGGGACACCCCATTGTTGGGGAGGACCCGCAGAGGGACACGGGGACATGGGACAGAGGGACAGAGGGACACGGGACAGAGGGACAGATGGACATGGGGACACCTCAGCACCAGGGGGTGACAGATCCCAAGGAGAAGTGACAGGCACAGTCCCGGGGGGTGACAGGTGACACGGTGACAGGCACAGTCCCGGGGGGTGACAGGTGACAGGTGACAGGGTGACAGGTGACAGGCACAGTCCCGGGGGCTGACAGGTGACAGGGTGACAGGTGACAGGTGACAGGTGACAGGTGACAGGGACAGTCCCACCCTCCGTCCACGATCTCGTCCACGGCCAGGAACAGCCCCTCCATGACACGGGACAGATGGACACGGGACAGAGGGACAGATGGACATGGGGACACCTCAGCACCAGGGGGTGACAGATCCCAAGGAGAAGTGACAGGCACAGTCCCGGGGGGTGACAAGTGACACGGTGACAGGTGACAGGGTGACAGGTGACACGGTGACAGGTGATGGGTGACAGGTGACAGGTGACAGGGTGACAGGTGACAGGCACAGTCCCGGGGGCTGACAGGTGACAGGGTGACAGGTGACAGGTGACAGGTGACAGGTGACAGGGACAGTCCCACCCTCCGTCCACGATCTCGTCCACGGCCAGGAACAGCCCCTCCATGTTGTCCAGCAGCGCCCGGCGCTCCACGTTCTTCCTGGGGACACCGAGGGACAGGGTGGGACACCATGGGGACACGGGGGGGACAGGGTGGGACACCCGGGGGACAGCCAGGGACACCCAGGGACACCCAGGGGACAGCCAGGGGACAGCCAGGGACACCCAGGGACACCCAGGGGACAGCCAGGGGACAGCCAGGGGACACCCCAAACAAGGCATTCCCCCCTCTGGGCTCCCCCAAGTTGCCCCCCCAAGACTCCCTCGAGGATACCACGACCCCCCTGTGACCCCCAGGTGTGTCCCCAGTGTCCCCAGTGTCCCCCCAGTGTCCCCCCCCGTGTCCCCAATGTGCCCCCCGTGTCCCCAATGTCCCCCCA